CCAGGGGAGTTCCTAGTTGATGTGCATCAGCAGGACTCCCCTACTGGTGGTTAACCCTTCCCGGTCTTCAAGCAATCGGGCTGAAGCCGGATAGTTGGTTAAGACCATTGCCTAAGCCAATACCACTCATTCCTGTAACCAATAAAGTTGTGGCCATTTTTTGCCCATTAACCTAAATATTTGTGTCATGTGTCTTTATTTCCACCGGGGGGGGGGCGGGAACTCGCCACGCAGTGGAAGATGCTACCAGTAGGGTTAGACCCTACAGAGTAGAGCTGGGAAAAGAGGACTTCCACAACAGCACAAAGCAGAGGGAGAACAAATTTCATCCTGGCTAGTAGCCTTTTGACAGCCTTATCCTCCACAAAATTCTCTTTTACGGCCATCCAGGTTAGCGGCCGTCACAAATTCTTGCAGGAGTGAGTTCCACAGTAGGACAGTAGGTGCCATGTGGAAAAAACGACTCTTTTGTCTGACACCCGAATCTTCCCCTCAATTGGCTTCATCCGATGTCCTCAAATTCCAGCGTTACAGGAAAGAGAGAGAGAAACTTTCCTCTTGTCCACTTGCAGCATTTTAAGCACATCTATCATGTCTAGACGCGGGTGGCGCTGTGGGTTAAACCACAGAGCCTAGACTTGCCGATCAGAAGGTCGCTCCATTAGTGAAAACTCGCCTCAGCTTAAGAACGGTTTTGGATTCAAAACAGACCTCCGGAACGAATTAAGTTCATAACCTGAGGTACCACTGTATACTGAAAGAAGACGAAGCAAACATCAAAACATACGGTGGTGTGTGAGTGTGTTTTTTTCCATGTATTTCCCTCATCAATTATCTACTTTAATGGCCCGAAAAGTCCAAAGCTTGTTTTTTAAAAAAAGCAAATGAAGAGAATGAACTTGAAGATGAACTAGAAACCTTCCAAAGTTCCACCGCCAAAAGAACTTTCTTTGTGTTCATTTAACTTGGCAGTTACGGGAATGACTTTCAGGCGCAGCCCAGAGATTTCGGAACTAATTCAGTTAACTGTGTTAAGAAGAAGAAGAAGAGTTTGGACTTGATATCCTGCCTTTCACTCCCCTTAAGGAGTCTCAAAGCACCTAACTATCTCCTTTCTCTTCCTCCCCCACAACAAACACTCTGTGAGGTGAGTGGGGCTGAGAGACTTCAGAGAAGTGTACTAGCCCAAGGTCACCCAGCAGCTGCATGTGGAGGAGCAGGGAAGCGAACCCGGTTCACCAGATTACGAGACTACCGCTCTTAACCACTACACCACGCTAGACTAGTTCATTCCAAACACGAACGAAGCGTCAATACTTACCACCGGGGTGAACGGGCGCCTCCAGGAGACGATGCCAACCACTCCGGAGAATGCCAACTAGAGATCAAGACACACAGAGAAGAGAGGTTGCCTTGATTGCCAAAGATCTACCAGTGGCTTTGAGTGACCAGTGCTGGTCCTCTCTAGGTGAGAAGGAAGCTGCTGAGAGCTTGCCAGGGGTGGGGTGGCCCATTTTGTTCTTAAAAGAAGAAACATGTCTCCTCAAACTGGAAGCTTTCGCTCCATTAATTGAAGCTTTTCTCATTTTTCCAAAGGGCTGCCTCTGAAGATGGTTCGGAAACTTCAGCTAATGCAGAATTCAGCGGACAGGTTGCTCACCAGGGCATGGCGATGTGAGCATATCACACCAATCCTGGTCCGACTGCAATGGCTGCCAATTAGTTTCCAGGCCCAATTCAAAGTGCTGTTTTTTATCTATAAAGCCTTAAACAGCTCAGGACCGCAATACCTCAAGCACCACCTCTTTCCATATGAACCTACCCGGACCTGAGATCATCTTACGAGGCCCTTCATTGAGTGCCTCCTCCACGAGAGGTCTGGATGGCGATAACACGAGAACAGGCCTTTTCTGTGGTGGCTCCCCATTGTGGAATGCCCTCCCCAGGGAGGCTCGCCTGGCACCCTCATTATAAACTTTTAGGCACCAGGAGAAAGATTTCCTATTTAACCAGGCCCTGAGCTGATATCCGATGCCCTTTTAATTATATGGTAGGGGCTGCGTTATTGGTTTGTTGTTGTTCTTTATATTGTATTTTTTTTTTTTATATTGCAGTTTTATGCTGTCAACGGCTCTGAGATCTACGGCTAAAAGTTGGCAAACAAATTTAATAAATAATAATAATAATAATTTTCAAATCTTAAGCTCAGTTCTCCCCTATTTTCACATCACTGTACGGTTTGTTTAAAAAACCACCATTTCTTCACAATAAATTGCCAGCATTTTAGTGCGAACCTCCGAATGGGCACACTTTTCTTTGCAGCTTTGCCTAAAATACACATTTTTGCAAAGCGTATTCCCCTCACATTTACATTTCCCCACACGCAATGCATTTTGGCCTGCTCTTTTCTTTAGCATACGCATTTTTAGGCACGCTTTACCTCAGCGCATGCATTTTCATGCACGTTGCTCAGCTGCAGAACTGCACTGCAAACAAAAAAAAAATGGAGAAGCACCGGTTTCGAAGCTGTTTCAGCTGGAATACAGTTGCAGAAAGCGTGACCAAATGACAGAGGTTTTTTTAGCAGTTGCTAGGAAGGACCTCCTGGAATAAGTCGGCACATCTCTGTCCCGGATTAAACAGGAGAGAGAGGCTGCAAAGCTCAGCGTTCTTTCCCATGGCTGCTGGCAGCCGAGTTGCCTCTGATAGCAGAGGAGGGACGCAGCATTTCTCAGTAGGCTGTGGATCTTATTATTATTATTTTATAATGGAGTTCATTTGCTCTAAATTATTCATGATTACATTTTTTTTTATAGGCGATGTGATTGAAAACACAGCCGGCAGAAACTGCCTCCCTCAAGCTGAGGAAACGCAGGATTGGTGCCTAAAGCTAAGTCCTGCTCCGAGGAGACCCACTGATATTAATGCTCAAGGGTTAACTGAGGCCAACTCTCTGCAATGGGTCTATTCTGAGCAGGATTTCGTTGGATCTCAGTGTAAACAATGCTCAGGAGGGGGCGGGGGCCAAGTATCTTTGGGTCGTTTGAGGTTCCAGGCCCTCCTCTCAGAGATATTTCGAGATAGAGTGCTAGAGGACTGCCATGCGCTGTACGTGGGGCTGCCCTAGAAGACGACTCAGTTTGGTGCAAGATGGCAGCAGCCAGATTACTGGTTGGGGTTGCCATAATAATAATAATAATAATAATAATAATAATAATAATAATAATAATATTTTATTTATACCCCACCCTCCCCGGCCAAGACAGGGCTCAGGGCGGCTAACACTGAATATAAATACAGTAGAAACATTAAAACAACAACAACAAACAACAAACAGTTGATTAAAATATAAGTTAGGATACAGCTTAAAATGCAGCCTCGTTTTAGTGGTAGCCCATAGATCAAAGCCATAAGGGGAGAAAACATCAAATATTTACCGGGGCCAACTATCCATGCTGGTCCTACATGGGCCAGCAAAAAGAGCCAAGGGAAAAATTATATACAAATCCCATATAAGGGGTTCCATCTAATAATAAATAGATGATAGATAGATTAGATAGATAGATAGATAGATAGATAGATAGATAGATAGATGATAGATAGATAGATGATAAATAGATAGATAGATGATAGATAGATTAGATAGATAGATGATAGATAGATAGATAGATAGATGATAGATAGATAGATAGATAGATATTAGATAGATAGATGATAGATAGATAGATAGATAGATAGATAGATAGATAGATAGATAGATAGATGATAGATAGATAGATAGATGATAGATAGATAGATGATAGATGATAGATGATAGATGATAGATGATAGATGATAGATGATAGATAGATAGATAGATGATAGATAGATAGATAGATAGATAGATAGATAGATAGATAGATGATAGATAGATAGATAGATAGATAGATGATAGATGATAGATAGATGACAGATAGATAGATGATAGATAGATAGATAGATAGATAGATAGATAGATAGATAGATGATAGATAGATAGATGATAGATAGATAGATAGATAGATAGATAGATAGATAGATAGATAGATGATAGATAGATAGATAGATGGGGGTTAGACTGAGTCCAGCCCAAAGGCCAGGCGGAACTCATAAAACCGTGTTCTAAAGCAGATGCATTGGCTGCCGGTTGCTTTTTGGGCATAATTTAAGGTGTTCACACTAGTTTAAAGGCTGGCTCTTTCCCTTGAGACCCTCTTGGGTGCCATCCTCAGAGGTCCAACATGGTCTTTTGGCTGTGGGTCCACCCCACCATTACCTGTGGCACCCAATTGACTTCCCATTCATGGGGGGGGGATATTCCAGTTCAAGGGCTTGTTACACAACATCGCCTTGATATTTTACAATATGGCGGTATTTAGAAATGTGTCTGTAAATAATTAAGTTGTTGTTGTTGTTTGAATTCGGAATCCCTCTGGTGAAACACACACTGTGTCTGCAGAGTAGTTTATTCTCTTTTATTGAGTAATTAATGAGTAATTAATGAACTGGAATGACTACTTGCTCTCAGTGCTGTCTTGTGAACCTATTGCCTATTAATGGCAATCTGCATCAGGCACTTCTGCCAGAGGTGAGGTGGGCGGTGAAATCAGACAGGGCCTTTTTAGTGCTGGCTCCCTAACTGTATAATTCTTAGCCTTGGGACAGTTAGCTGGTATCTATTTTGTTTGTCTCTCCAGATCCACCTTATATGTTTCTGATTTCCCTGGGCTTTCAGTGGATTTTCTGCTGTATATTTTAATTATGATTGCTACTTATCAACTTGCTTTCATTTTTGCTGCTGATTTCAGTGTGGGTAGTTTGTTTGATTTTTTAAAAAAATATTTCTTGGACGTGTTGGCTGATGGATGGCATCCAGAAATCTGTTAAATAAGTAAATAACATCAGGCTTTTTTGCCTTTCCCCCCTTCATCTTCTTTTAAAACATCATCTGCAATTGGCTAGAAACATTTAAATCAATGTGTGCTGGATGGGGAAGGTGGGGGAAGCCCAATATCTATCAATAATGGATCCAAAAATGGATCTGGGGAAAGCCTGAGGTTTCACCCAGCTGTGTTTTTGCAAGATGCACTCACCGGAAAACCAGCCCAGATGGGACACGCGTTCCGGATGTGGCTCTGCGAGGGCATGTTGGTAGTTACCAGAAGGCTCAGCGTCACGATCAGGACGCCCAGGATCATCTGAACGAAGCCGAGAAGGAGGATAATCTGGAGCCAGGCCCGCCGGACGCGGAGGTGCGTGAAGCTGCGGGACGTGGTGCGGGCTGTCAGCGAGTAGCTGGAATCGCTCCGGGAGGGCATGACTCTGGCCCAAAGGAGGGCGGCTTCCGGAGGGACCCCAGAAGCAGCCGTAAACAGAAGCGACCCTGGTCCTCAAAGGCTAGGCCTCGAACCCTCCTGCGTAAGGCACAGGACCTGTTTTTCAAAAGAGGCAAGCTTTTTATGGCTGACCCTCAGCTTTCCAAGAAGCAGTTTCTCGTTGGCTGACCCCAAATCCACTTGACTCTCCGGGCTCTGTACATGTGAGAAGAAACCGACGAAAAGGAGGGCGGATGCTGGTGTATAATTCCAAGGCAGCAACACGGCTTCACCAGGGCACCGCCCTAGAAGATGTCTCAACGGGGAAAGGGTGCCTCTGAGCATGCGTGGAGGGCCCCTGCCCTGAGCAAACACGCACATAAATGCATCCGACGGGAGAGGGATTCCAGGACAGGAGACGAGGGGTGTCGAGGAGAGTTTGGCCCTGGCACACTTTCGCTTTTAGCTGTACGCCGCCTCCGGGGAGATGCAGATGCCAACTTCCAGATCTCCCCCCACCCAAGAAAGCCACTGGCCATGAGAAGGAACATCAGAGCTTAGCTTCAGGATAGGGATCATCCCAACCTCAAAAGCCCAGAGGTTGCGGAGACACAGCCACCAACCCAACCCTCCCGTCCTCCCCGTGAATCGGTCCAGTAGAATGTGAATCCTCCAGGTCCCATGTGAACAGCATCTACCCACATCACTTGGGAGTCGAATGGGGAAAGTTAGCCCTTTTTCTCAGCCCGACTGTGGTTAAAACGCACTGTGCAGTTTTGAATCTGCAGGCCTTTGCGCTCTCCCTTTGGAAGAAGGCCTCCAGGCCACCAGGAGATGAAGGACTGGATGCAGAGAGATTGTTACGCAAAGAAGGGGCTTTCTGACTTTTTCCACAGCCGGGGTCCTCAAAAGATCCATCTTTCCCAGATCAGAGATCATCATGGCCCAAAGGGGACCCTCGCACGGCAGCCATGGGGTGGTTGTTTATCCGGACAGGAGTTTGCTCCCAAGGAGGAGACAGAATCGCAACAGCAGCAGCAAGCGGTTGATGCTGTTTCTGATGGATGAGAAACACAAAGCGGTTCCCGGACGTGTGATGGATTCTCAGCCGACCGCTGCTCCTCTGACAGGCGGCCTGGCACCACCGCTGCCATCCACGCGGCTTGCCTCCTCCCTCCTCCCCTCAGCCCAGCGTTGGCAGATGGATCAGGAAAAGATGTCCGGAGTCAGCTCCAAAACCCAAGAGGATTCTCACTGAACCGCTGGCAAACCGACCTGACGCTGCGGTAACCACCCTGAGCAGGAGATGGTGGCAGCTCGGCTTGGTACGGCAGAAGGCACCAGTCTCATCCGGAACAGAGGCTGGCAATTGCCAGAGTTCAAGCATTACCCAGGAAAAGTTTTTTGGGGGTGGGTGGGGAGAGGGTCCCAGCCGTGGGGAGAGAGGATTGTTCTTCTGCACCGTGCAGACAGAAGGCGTCAGCTCTTAAAGAGGCCACAAAACTCCGAGCCGTCTGAAAAACAGAAGAGCCAGAGGATAAAATAAACCATCTTGGTAAAAAGCTGGGCACCTTGCCTTCCCTATCACAGTGTGGGCAGGAGGCTCACCTCCCTCAGCTTCTCCCTATAAACTTTGGTCTGCCCCACCCCACCCCAGAGGTCTACTGGGAAGCCCCCAACTTTGCAAAACACCCAAATCCCTCCATCTAAACTGCTTCTAAAAGGACGAGACCAGCCATCAGCCTGGCTAGCTTGCTACAGATTCTTCTACACCCTCCACCTCACCCCACCCTGCTCCCCTTTGCCCCCCATCTCATCTTTCTTCCTCACCCCTCCCCCCCAAAAAACAGGAGCTAAACACAGCTGCAGACTTACCAGGCATGGGAGGAGTCTGCTTGCCCAGCTGCAGGGCAGCTCTTGGCCAGGGATGTTCCAGGAGCCACCTCCCCCTGCCAGGCGCCTGCATCCCTCTCTCTGGAGGATGCTCGGCTGGTCCTGATGCTGCAAGGAGGAAGGGCACGCCCTGCCGTGATGCATCTTGGGAGTTGTAGTTAATCAGCCAAGGACTAGGATCCTGTGCTTTTGCCTTGCCAGGGGAAGGGTACACAGAGCCCAGCTTGGGCAGGGTGGGTGTGGGGAATTGTGTTTCCAGAGTTTTCCTGTTTGGATGGCAAGGGGCAAAGGGACATAAGAAGAACAGGGAAAATCTCAGATCTTTCAGGAATGAGGTATTGTTGGTAGCAGCTTGCCCACTTTAACAGGACCAGTGCTGGTTTTTTTAGTTTTGTATTGTTTTGATTGAGAACTCGACTCGTGTGCTAATCCTGGCATAACTGCATACACATTTTTTAATAATAATAATAATAATAATAATAATAATGCATAGACGCTGTATTTAAGGAGAAATCTGTTCAGTCATCCTCTGCTTCCAAAACAGGGCAATAAACTCAAGGTCTGCATTAGACTTCAGCTGTCCCATAAAATCGTATCATCTGGCCTGTCCAAATTTACAAGCAGTAATTTGGGCTTTCAGATTTCAGCAGCACCCTGCGCAATGCCAAAATTCACCCCCCGCCCTCTGTCATTCAGCTTCCGTTCTAAGTCATTGTTGTAGCACCCCCAGCAGCGCCCTCTCAGCTCAGTGGGAGTGAACTGGTTAAAGGTAAAGGTAAAGGTACCCCTGCCCGACAGGGCCAGTCGTGACCAACTCCAGGGTTGCGCGCTCATCTCGCTCAAGAGGCCGGGGGCCGGCGCTGTCCGAAGACACTTCCGGGTCACGTGGCCAGCGTGACGAAGCTGCATCTGGCGAGCCAGCACCAGCGCAGCACACGGAAACCCCGTTTACCTTCCCGCTATAAAGCGGTCCCTATTTATCTACTTGCACTTTGACGTGCTTTCGAACTGCTAGGTTGGCAGGAGCTGGGACCGAACGACGGGAGCTCACCCCGCCGCGGGGATTCGAACCACCAACCTTACGATCAGCAAGTCCTAGGCACCGAGGTTTTACCCACAGTGCCACCCACGTCCCTTAGTGAACCGGTTGCGCTCCCTTAAATCTGCTTCTGTTCACAACCCTTATGCTGAGAAAGAGGAGCTGGAATTTTAACCTGACACCAAAGGTGCTTCATCATTGGTGTGTGTGTGCGTGCATCTGAGCATGCACAGAGTGCCTCTTCTTTTGAATAAATACAGCCAGTCACCTCACTTCAGGTAATGGGGGAAATCAATGTTGTTCCAATGACCATTTGGAAAGGGTCTTGATCAGGGGTCAGCATACTTTTCCAGCAGGGGGCCGGTCCACTGTCCCTCAGACCTTGTGGGGGGCCGGACTATTTTTTTTGGGGGGGGGATATATGAACGAATTCCTTGTTGGGATTCGCAGGATACTGGATAAGTCTGCAGGCTTCAACAGGATGATGCAATACTCTGCTGGGTCAGAGTGACTCAGCAGGAGTGTGATTAGTGTAATTGGCTATCACCTGTTTTAAAAAGGAAAGCCTGTTTAACAGGGGGTGTGGTGGTTGTGCTGTAGTGTGGTGGTTGTGCTGTAGTGTGGTGGTGCTGTCGTGGAGAGTATTCGTTTGTAAGTACTCTGTATGGACTGTTTCTTTTGTAAATACCTGTATATAGCTCACATTAAAAAGGACTGCACTGAAAAACCTGGAACTCTTAATGCTTTGCTGAAAACGCCGCGTGGAATACGCGACAGGGTTATGGGCCCAGCACGCTTCCGCTGCGCAAGAGTACAGGTGGCAGTTATCTAGCCGTGGGTGCTGGAGGTGAGCTGCAGGGATGGAGCAGTCCAGAACTGGCGTGTTGCTGGAGAAGCTGACGGCCACGAACTACAGCATCTGGTCGGTCCGCATGCAACACTTCCTCAAGCGTGAGGGCCTGTGGAAAGTGGTGGAAACCACACCGCAGCCCCCTGAATGGGATGAGGACGACGATGAAAAGCTGGCACTAGCAGAGGCCCAGCTTGAAAAGGATGAGAAAGCTTTGGCTACGATCATCCTTGGAGTGGACGACAGCCAGCTAGTCTACGTAGCTGATAAGGTGACGGCAAGTGAGGCGTGGAATGCGCTCAAGGCTGTCCATGTGCGAGAGACGGCTGGCTCACTGATAACACTGACCAGGAGACTGTACCGGTGTCGGAAGAAACCGGGGGACTCCCTGGTAAACCACCTAAAATTCCTAACAGGCTGTTTCCAGGAGCTAGCCTTAAGAGGGAGGCCTGTGGGGGAAGAGGACAAAGTCTTTATAGTCCTGAGTTCCCTTGATGACAGCTATGATATGCTGGTCAACTCCCTAGAGTCTGTAGAGACTGATAAACTGACTCTGGAATACGTGACCGGACGGTTGTATGCAGAGGAGGACAGGCGTGCAGAGCGAAAGATGACCTCAGCCCAGCTGTTGGAGCATCCCAGAGGGAACAACAGCCGGGAGGAGCAGAGGTGTCGGGAGCCGGAGAAACAGCCAGGAGGAGCTGCTGCAGACCAGCCGGTGGTCAACAAAGTAAAAAGGTGCTTTTGCTGCAAGTCCAGTGGACATCTGCTGCGGGACTGCCCAAGAAAACAACAAAAACAGCAGAAGCACAGGAGGCAGCAGAGAGAGTCTACCGCTTGGGTGTCTGCAGATGGTCAAGAAAATGAGGAGCTGTGGGTTCTGGACAGTGGAGCTTCTCAAACCTTTTGTAAAAGAAAAGGATTGCTAACTGATGCTAGGGCTTCAAACAAAAAACATGTAAGTCTTGCTACAGGCCAGAAAGCTAATGTGGTTTGTGAGGGGGAGGTTGTGTTCCCACAGCTGGGACACACATTCAGGAATGTATTGTGTGTGCCTAGTTTGCAAAACAATCTCCTGAGCATTCCTGATTTGGCAAAAGCAGGCTTTGAAGTAAATTTTGTGGGAGACCAGTGCCAGATAAAGCAAAATGGGGCAGTGTTGGCAAATGCTAACCTTAGAACTAATATGTATGTACTGCAGTGTGAGTCTAAGGTTGCGAATGTGCAAAATGTCCCGACCCATGATATGTGTATTCATCTCCTGCACAGGCGTCTGGCTCATGCTAGCTATAAGGTGCTAAACAAAACATTGGAGTTGTGTGGGGGGATGAAAAACATAAAAAGTTGTGATAATTACTTAGACTGCAATATCTGCAAGGAAGTTAAAAGCAGAGCTTGCCCAGTAGCAAGAGCAAGCCAGAGAGAAACCAAAAAACCACTGGAGTTGATTCATGCTGATGTAACTGGTCCTTTTCCACCAAGTGTCTCCCACAACAAGTACTGTTTGATCCTAGTGGATGACTATTCTAGATTTGGCTGGGTCTATCCATTAAAGCAAAAGTCTGACGTTGCCCAAACTTTGAAGTTCTGGGTAAGAAGGGTAGAAAGGCAACTTGGTGAAAAGGTGTGCTCTATTCAGTCAGACAGGGGAGGGGAGTTTATGGCAAGCTCCCTAAGAAACTGGTTGCGTTCCCAAGGGATTAAACATAGGCTTACCAATGTGGCCACGCCTCAGGAGAACGGAGTAGCAGAGCGTAGGGGAGGTGTCTTGCAGACACAAATGAAAGCATTGTTAGCAGATGCAAATCTTCCAATTAAGTACTGGGCTGAAAGTATTAAGACTGCGAATTATGTTGGGAATCGCTTGTGGTCAAGGGGTACTAGATGACATACCCTATAAAATTCTCTATAACAAAAGTCCCAGTTTGCAACATTTAAGAATCTTTGGGACTAAGGCATGGGTTGACATACCTGTGAAAACCGAAGAAAAGGTGGGAAAAGGGCACAGCAGTTGCTATTTTCTTGGGTATGAAAGTGGTACGAAAGCCTACAGGTTTGAAGATGATAAAAACCTTTTGAGTTATAGTCGATCAGCCAGCTTTAATGAGCAAGAAATTGGCCCAAGATACATTGCAAACCTACTGCCAGAAAAAGTTTTACTGCGGAACACTTCAGTTTGGGCTCAAGTATTTGTTTATGCATTTTGGAGCATTTATATTCCCATTAATGATGCAAATTCTGCCCACACCTTTTGCTGCCATACAACCCCAGATCATCACACTGTCTGGGTGTTTCATGGTCAGTGTAATGCAAGTAGGAT